TCTCCAACCCATGTTTCCTCTGCGCACACATCAAAAGAAGCTCTACTGGATTCCTCAGAAAAAAGGGAAGAAAGTCCAATCTTCCTATAAGGGCAGGAAAGACAAACACAACTCCGAGCTTTTCATTTCTGACATTCTTCTCAAGAGTTTGGATTTTGAGGCAGATATGATGTTGTGGAACAAAGCTCTTGAACAGTTTGTGAATACTCTCGTGAAAAGTATCGATTCCTTGGTACACGAGGATCATGTACCGCTTATTCGTCAAGAGTGCGGTTAGAGTGACTACGTGGTCGTTCATGTTCCTCAGGAGCATGAGAAAATCACTAGCCACCGGGAAAGTTTTTCTTTCATGTATACCTACCCATTTACTCTCGGATTCCAGCCTCCTTCGATACCATTATTCCACTTATGTTGTCATTTCAATATTTTCCTTGGTCAGATCGGCCGAGTGTTTGGAGGCTAGTAGGTGTTAATACCCAATTTTTCCCCAAAATATTTTAAAATTGCATGTATAACTTCAAAATCATGCATTAATAGCAATTAATATTTTTTCACAATTTTCCTATATTTTTATTAATTTGTTCAGCATTTTATTTTCAATAAATGATTACAGAATTGTATCACAAGTGATTTCAAAAATATTTCTTGATTTAATTTATTATTTATGGTCCTATTTGAACCAAATTATTCCATAATTAGCCAAATTGGCACTTTTTGGCTATAATTGCGATAACACTGCAATTATAGCCCAATCATATGATTTGTACTATTTTTATCCAGAAATTAATCATTTGTATTTTTAAATATTAAGTAATCATTTTAAACTATTTTCTATGCATAAAATTCATTTTGTACAATTATCAGCTATTTTTGTAAATTGTTTTATTTAATTTAATTGGGTATTTAACAAATAGCCAATTTCATTTCAATTTTAACCTAATTAAACCAGCCACAAAACACCCAATTAAATCAGTCCAATACTCCAAAGCCCAATTCCTAAATTACCCGACCTGATCCCTGGTCCAATCTAGATTGTTGATCAATTTTAATCAACGGTCCAAATCCCCCATTTCCTAATTTAACATGATAGACTACCCCCCCCCCC